TGGGAGGGGTAGGGGAAAGGAAAGAAGGGAAAAGAAAAAATATAAGAAAAGGAAAAAATGGAAACAAAGTCTTTGTAAATAGAAAGGGGTGGAGGGGTTGAAGGGAGGGCACGGGAAGGGGGAAAAATAGGAACCAAGATACATCATGTAAAGTACAAGATCCCAATGATGAATGTAACTGTGTTGTGTACCTAAAATGTACCAATAAACTTAATGGAAAAAAAACACTTTAGAGTCACATAGGAAAGGACACAGATACAGGGAGAATTGAAATATCGAGGCCGTCGAGGCAGCTGCTGCCCTAAGAACAGAAAGATGTTGACTGCGGAGCAAGGCAGCCCCCGCGGGTATCTGCCACTCACCCATCTGAACGCCCTCCGCAGCCACACTTCAGTCATCTGCTGTGCCCTTAGGGTGTGAAAATTGAATGAAGAATCTATTTTCTGGTTAATGCAACCACTTTGAGCAAACTGCATGATCTTTCTGAGTCTCAGGTGCCTCATTAAAAACGAAAAAGATGATAAATAATACCTGGTTCATAGAATAGTTGCAACAACAAAGCGAGGTGACAAATGTGTCTGGAACACAGAGTTCACCACTGTGGCAAATAACTGAGTTCACTATTAAATTATTTATATGATGCCTGAAACTATTTTTGATGGCTCCTTTTTTCCCATTTAAAAATAACCTCAATATGAAATAAATTATTCAAGTCAGGGAGAATGTTAGTTCTTTGTTTATTCTTATTAATTTTATTCAAAATCTTGATCTTGTTCTTATTGTGATTTGTGTTAACTTCAGGGAAGCCCAGGAAAGAGAGGGAGCAAAGGTGATCATGGAGCAAAAGGTCTGAGGGGAGATCTGGTAAGTGCCAGGGCTGTGGGGCAGTGTCAGGGCTCCCTCCTGTAGCCCTGCTGATTAGGGAAAGATGTTTCCATTTTAATGCACTACAAAAGCAATCCTGATTTTAAAACATCACCATCTAATTGTCATAGAATTTTAAAAGCAGGTACCTGTGCTGGATACTCTTCATACCTACAATCATTCTTTTTTATTAATAACATGTTTGCAGTACATAATAATTACATGCTTTGGGGGTATAGGTACATGTTCATAACACATCTTAAATCTTTTTTCATCACTTCTCCCCTACCCCCCTCCTAACATCTCTGGATTCCTTTCCCCTTTACAAAAGATCTATCTTCCTGTTTCCTATTATTTACATTTTGGGTTTCTCATATATAAGAGAAATCATGTGACATTTAAGCCTATGTGTCTGATTTATTTCACTTAACATTATGGTCTCAAGGTGCATCCATTTCCTACGAATGACTCATTTTTCTTTATGGCAGAGTAGTACTCCATTGTGTATAAATACCATATTTACTTTATCCATTCATCTGTTGATGGACATATAGGGTGCTTCCAAGATTTAGCTGTTATGAATTGTGTTGGTATAAACATGGGTGTGTATGTATTTCTGTAATATGATGTCTGTAAAATGACATCTTTAATTCTTTTGGGATGATCCCTAGAAGGGGAATAGCTGAATTGAATGGAATTTCTATTTTTAGTTTTTGAGGAATATCCATATTGATTTCCATAGTGGTTGTATTAGTTTACATTCCCACCGACAGTGTAGAAGGGTTCCTTTTTCTCTGCAGCCTTACCAGCATTTCTTTCTGGATGGAATCTCTGTTTTAATTCCTACTTCTCTAATGGCCAGAGATGTTGAAAAAATTTTTGTGTATTTATTGGCTATTTATACTACTTCTGAGAAGTGCCCATTCATTTCAGTTGCCCATTTCATTATTAGATCTTTGATTTTGGGAGATCTAATTTTTGAAGTTCTTTATATATTTTAGATGTTAGTTTTCTGTCTGAGGAGTAGCTGGTAAAATGTTTCCCATTCTGTAGGTGCCTCTTCACTCTGTTGTTTACTTTGCTGTGTAGAAACTTTTAAATTTGTTATTCCATTTGTTGATTCTTGATGTTACTTCTTGTGCAATTGGGGCTCTGTTCAGAACATGTTTGTCTGCACCTATGTCTTCAAGAAGTTTACATATTTTTACCTTCCAGCAGATTTTGTGGGGGGGTACTGGGGATCAAACTCAGGACTTTGCACTTGCCAGGCAGATGCTATGCCACTGAGCTACATGCCTGGCCCTAGCAGATTGTTTTTGTTATAAAATTTAGATCTTTGATCTATTTTGATTTTAGTTTAGTGCATGGTGAGAGATATGGGGTTGGATCCAATCTTCTGCTTATGGATAGCCATTTTTCCCAGCATCATTTTTTAAAGAGGCTGTCCTCCAGCATATTTTTGGCTCTGTTGTCAAAGATCATGCAGCTGAATGTGCCTGTAATTGTTTCTGCATCCTCTATTTTGTTCCAGTGATCCACATGTCTGTTTTATTTTTTTATCAATACCATGCTGTTTTTATTACTGTGGCTTTGTGGTATAATTTGAAGCCTGGAATTGTGATGCCTCTTGCTTTGCTCTTGTTACCTAGGATTGCTTCTGCTATTCTGGGTCTCTTCTGTTTCCAAATGAATTTTAAGATTTTTTTCTGTAGTTCTGTGAGGAATGCTATTGGTATTTTGATTGGAGTTGCATTAAATCTGTATGTCAGTTTGGGGAGTATGGCCACTTGATAATATTGGTTCTTGGGAGAACAGTGGATGTCTTTCCATTTTCTAATGTCCTCTGCAGTCTTCTTTTTCAGAGTACTGTAGTTTTTGTTGTAGACATCTTTCACTTCCTTGGTTAAATTAATTCCTAAGTGTTTCTTTTTCCTTGATGCTATTGTGAATGGTATTGTTTTCCTAATATCTTTCTCAATGAGTCCATTTTTGTAATACAGGAACACTGTGATTTTTGTGTATTGATTTTGTATCCTGCTACTTTACAGAATTAGGTTATTAGTTCTAGGAGTCTTTTGGTAGAATCTTTTGGGTCTTCTATGTAGACCCAAATGTTGTTTGCAAATAATGATAATTGGACTTCTTTCCTAAACATATTCCTTTTATTTCTTTTTCTTGCCTGATTGCTCTGGCTGATGTTTCAAGAACTATATATTGAAGAGGAGTGGTGATAGTGGACTTCCTTGTTTTGCTCCTGATTTTAAAGGGAAAGCTTTCAGTTTTTCCCCATTTTATATGATCTTTATAGCTTTATCATTTAGAATCATTCTGATGTTGTGGAGTGATAGAGAAATTCTAATCCACTCCATTTTCTTCTTTCTGAGGACTTCAGCAAATGGACAGAATGGGGAACAGAACCTTCTTTCTTTCTTCCCCTAGTCTCTAAGAGTCTGTCTCGCTTGAGACTATCAGCCTCATTTCTCTGAATCCAAGAATCCAGGCAAGACTTTTTCAGGCAAAACTTATGAGAGGAAGATCCCTGCCCTCCCAGGGAAAACACGCAGTTGAATAGGTATGACTCCCTCCAGACAGCCTCCCATCATGGGGAATTGGCCAAGTCAAGAGCATCATCATACAGTAGGATTTTCACCACTATGCACCTCCAAAACCTTAATGAATTAGGTCTTAGGTTTTTAAAACAATGTTTACTGAACTTTTTGTTGAACTGTAACATATATCAGAAATATGTACAACTGTATGATCAGCTACCTAGGTAAAGAAATAAAACATACCATTGTCCCAGAAGCCTTCTTCATGCACAGTCTAATCCACCTTCCCTGAGGTAATCACTATTCCAGCACCATAAATTATTTTTACCTATTCTTAAACTTTGATAATTGAAATCACTTGCTGTGTGCTCCTCTCTTTCTGGCTTCTTGTTCTCTAATTTATACTTGTGAAATTCACACATGCTGTTGTGTATAACAATTGTTTCTTTGGTCTCATTGCTTTATAGTATTCCATCATGTGACTGTATCATGATTTATTTATCCATTCTGCTACTGTTTGATATTTGGGTTGTGCCTAGTTGTTACTTTTATAAATAGTGCTGCTATGAATATTCTTATTTATGTCCATTAGTGGATTCTGTACACATTATATTGGATATATACTTTAGGAGCAGAATTTCTGGATCAAGACATGTATGCCAAGGGCTGGAGATTTAGCTCAGTGGTTTCACCACCTGCTGTGCAAGCACAAGGACCCAAGTTCGATCCCTGGTACCAAAAAAAAAAAAAAATTGAATCAAGACATGTATACCTACATTCAGCTTAAATCTTTACAGTCAAAGTATTCTCAAAAATGTTTGATTCATATTTCCCCACCAATGTACAATGGTTGTGTACTACATACTCATCAGAATCGCTACAGTTTACAAAAGCCGACAACACCAAGGGCTGATGAGGATGTGGGAGAACTGGAAATCTTATGGGACTTTTTTCTTAATAGATCCTCCTCCAGTGTATAATGTATCATCAGAGAAATGAGTTAGTGTAATATGTATTGACAAATGTAGATACTAAGTATGCAATGAAGATAACTTTATTTAAAATGTAGAGGAATTTGCACTTGAAGAAAACATTGCTTAGTGACTGACATGTTAAGTCTGAACTGAGAATTTTCAAGCAACTTCAAAGTGTCTAATTTAGAACCAAAATAATTCACAATAAAGATAGTTATGAAATAGTTGTTTAAGTAAACAGACATTTCAGTCTGTGAAATGAAAAACAGAAGTTCATTTGAAATATTGATACACATTTTCCATTAACTGATCAGAACCTCCCAATTGTCTGCTATAGAGCGTGATAATATAGTAGTTTTAAAAGAACCTTAATGATGTAAAATGATTTTTTCATTTTAAAAGAAATGATATGTGACTTCAAGATAGCTGAAAATTCAATTTGCCAGAGTGTGTGTGATGTGTTATCAACTATACTAATTTTTTTTGTATTAAATTCTTTTATTGGTACATTGTAGGTATACAACACAATTACATTTCTCATTGGGAATTGTACCTTTACATAATGCATC